AGGTGATGAAAGTTTGTATGATACCTACCTTTTTAGAGATTTTGTTGTAGTTTTAGCGCGAGCGAAGCTGCGGGTTCTCCTAGTATTACATAAAAAACATTAGATGGAACACAAAATGTCAATTGTCTTTTCGTTCGTATTCACTAATTAAAATTAAGACAATTAATATAAATTCTATTAATGTTTTTGTACCGTTTATTATTCATAAATTTTACGCAGAAAATTGGCGTAGTTAATTTTATATAGAGCTTAAGACCAAAATGAAAATATCAACTCGGATTATTTTGTAATGAAAAGAAAATTGAATGTGTAATTATATTTATTGAAACAACAACTCAGATGTCATCGATACAAATATTATAAAAGTGAAACTAATTCTGTCTGTTGCCTTTTCACGCTTAAGCCGCTGGACAGATTTTGATAAAATTTTGCAAGGACATAAACTGCATCCTGGGCCGTCCCCAGTATGGAGGCAAGTTCATTATATCAGTCATCTTTTATTAGAGAGAAGACTCTCCTTATTACTTCAACGACTTAGATATCTAATTATAGCAACAAATTAAATTTTTTGGTCACTAATTGATAAAATTGTTTTTTTTTTTTAATTTTAGAATTACATTATAATATTCCACAATCTCTAAGGAGTATTACAAAACCTCTATAGTAGTATGCATATATTATTTAAATTAGATAAATTATTAGGACAAACGACCAAAACTGGACACAAGCAAAACTGAAGACAAAAACTAGTTTTAAATGCTATACATTATGTTGTCTTTGACATACGAGTCCAGTTAGAGCGCACATTGCACACTAAATAGCTAATTTATCTAATCTGCATAAATCGTTAGACCAATTATTCGTTTAAGTGAGTATAATGGGCCCTTTGTTTTAATAACACATTCGTGTTCATGAAAATGGTGTCTAAAATACCTTTATTTTAACGTTAACAAATATATATAAATAATCATATTATACATGATTAGCCAGAAGCTAAAATTAGGTAGAACTATATAGAGACTAGAAACACCCACGTGATAGAGTAAAAATGTTCGCATCTTCACCTATTTTAATGAGGCTTTCATTGAGTAGAATATTTGGGATAAAATATTACAATATACCGTGCAATATGAACGAAAGTTAGTAGGACATTAAAATTCAATTAATTTATAACTAGCAACTGACCCTCGCTTCGCTCGGGTTCGTCCTTAGGTACGTTTTAACGGTTAGTATGAAATACAAATCTTTGAATTTCTCGGCCTTACTGAACTATATATGTATAAATAATACATATAAACCCTCCTTTTGAATCACTCTTTCTATTGCAGAAAACTGCATTAAAATCCATTGTGTAGTTTAAAAGATCTAAGCGAACAGACAGCGGAGCCGACTTCATTATATACTATGTAAAGATGAAACTTAAGTAGTTTAATATATTTTTAATATTCTTCAAATTTATAATCATACGATACTTAAAAATTTAATATTTTCATAAATAAATCAAAACTAATAGGGGAGACATTAAAATTTACTAGCCACTTTAGCAACACTTGCGACATTGTAGAAAGCACTCAGTTATCTGTGGCCGCTGTAATCTGCGGTGAGTGTTCTAATTACACTCGGGGATAAAATCTCTATCCAGAGGCAACAACTTTACATAATTTAAGAACAGAGTCATTTTTTTATTAAAAGAAATCTAAGGCTAACTAAATGTTGTAAATCTGTCCGTTTGTAACGTCTATTTACTTGTAGGTATCAAACTTGATGTATTGTATGTATTCAGCCCTTTTTATATTTTATATAAATATTTATATAAATTGGCCATATGTGGGACTCGAGCCAGTAACTTCCAACGTAATAGGACTTACATTTTATTCAATATAATATATAATATTTCACACAAAATACACCTAATTTAATATGGGGTAGACACCCCCACTGTGAATTATAGTTGAAGAGTTTTTTTCACCCTGAATGCGGAAGGTTAATAAAGTGATGTAATTGGTAACACTCGGACGTATAATAATTACAACTATTGAGTTGCAATTATTATACGTCCGAGTGGGGTGGGCTACGAACCATTGGGTTTAAAGAGAAAGTAAATGCTCCAGATTCTGATAACTCTGTTAACTTAAGACCACTCTTATTCCACTTTAATGTCATTGAATTTAAAACTTTTCAATTTAACAGTATTATTTTAGTTTAAGAAGGCAATTGTGTTTTAAGCGCTTACATCACAAGCTCCGATAGCCGTGATCGTCTAGTGGTTAGGACCCTACGTTGTGGCCGTAGTAACCCAGGTTCGAATCCTGGTCACGGCAGCGCATAGCTGTTACGGCGGAGCATATTTATTTTTATTTCCATATTAAATTCTTAAAATCCTTCCACCTGATATCTATGTCAATATTTAATGGATTTTATTATTTTTTCTTATAAACCTTTATGAGTTGTGTGTATGGCGACCCCAAGTGATTGATAAATGAGCTGGGAGATGATGAGAAACCTTCATGGGTTGTCTCATGAAAATTAAAAATAAATCTATCCCTACATGTGTACAATTAATACAATCTACTTTTTTAGAGAAATATTATTCTTCTACGTCTTAAGAGTTAATATTATCAAAGTTCTTAGGAATTTAATATAAGATATTAATATTTCTTTCCGCAGTAAAAAAATCCAAGACAAGATAGAACTTACTTCGAAGCTCGTACCTATAGCCGTGTCAAAAAACATATATGTATGTATAAACTAGCGACTTCGCTCGGGTTTGTCCCAATGTTTAGTATAGATTTCTCAGATATTAGATATTTTCCAAAGGCAGGCTAAAATTCTAAGAACTATAGATTCGGCCTCTGTATTGATAATAATGACTATTTCAATAAGATTTTCCAAAAAATATTTAATGTATAGATTCGACTCAGAAATATATTATAATGTTCTCCTGACCGATTCCGGCCACGGCAGCCAATCTCATTGAGACTAGCCAACTGCGCAGGAGATATTATAGTGCACAAGTGTACGCGCCGATACAAGTGCACTCTCTATTCCTGTCATTCTCACTGGTGGGACGACCACTCGACACGACCTGGGAGAGTTAAGGCGCAGGACCGACGGCTTTATGTGCTCTCCGAGGCACGGGGGTGAAACACCGCCAACTTCCCAACTCCGGGCTGTTACTGAGGCTTACTATACAGAAAGACTCAATAACTAAACTTGGCCCGATCCGGGACTCAAACCCAGGACCTCCGGGTGTGCAGCCGTACATGCTAGCCACTACACCACCGAGGCAGTTCATCTCCTGACATATATCCTACATGGGATACATTATCTCTATAATTTCGTATAATTAAATGTTATATTTAAGTATGTAGTAAGAAAATTATTAGTAAATTAAAAACCAAAGCTGCTAAACTCAATAACGTCGTCTAGACTTGGCGTAATGCCTTTTGTTCTGATACCAAGATATCTATAGCTTGTAGTGCTTTGAGATAAAGTTCATAATGTACTTTATATTTTAAAATAAAGCAGCAACTTTTATTAGTCAGATACTTCTGCAAAGCTGTAAGTTTTGTACGTGAACAAACAAGATACAGACATCAAACGTTTCACGACATATTCGTTAACAGTGAGAAGATCTGACGAAGCTAAATTAATGTTTTTGATAGATTTCAGAGGTACTCTTGTATTCAAATAAATAATATTATTTGGTAACAATTGTAACGAATTGAATAAATCTTTTTTCGCAAATAATCCCCAAAACCTTTTTTATTATAGTACCTACTAATATAAAACTTGATTAAAACAGCAACATGCATTTATTATTTATTACTAACGACTTACACTCGCTTCGCTCGGATGCGTCCCTAGGTAGGTTTTAATTTTTTTGAGCCGAACCATAATTCTTTTTCTAAAATAAAGCCAAGCCCAGCCGTTTTGGAGATTAGCCGGAACAAACAGACAGGGAGACAGACAAAAATTTTAAAAATTGTATTTTTCTTATAAGTTCTGTATAAACTTTGATATGACTTTAATAAAAAGCTGTTATTTCGATTTTACAAACAAATACTCCTATTTTATTTATATGTATAGATTATAATGATACCTACATATAAAGTAGTTGAAAATGGAAGAGTCAGTCGCTTACTGCCTGTTTGTTCCAATCGAGTCTTATAGCTAAGCCTAAATTAAAAAAAAAAAAAACAAGGCAATTACTAAATTATTAATTTAAAAGATACAAACATATAATCCCTCAAAAAATCTATAATTTTAATAGTAAACTTTTTATATTCTATAGAGGTTTCACAGAAAGAAATAAAAAAATTATTATTATAGTAAATCCTCTCTTTTCTTTAGAAATAGGTATCTATTTAAATTTATATTTCACATGTCGGTGTTATAAATGCTCCATTAATTATACCCTACAGCCTGCTTTTACTACGGTTAAAGGAATTTCTTATATATGAAATTGTTATCACTTTTGATGTTTCACATAATTCATGAAATTCTAATATAACGTATAAAATTTTAACTAAGAGATCAAAATTTAGATTATCTCAAAGCATTATAATTAGATTTTTGGAATTAAAACTATTAATAGAATAGTGAAATCTCATTTTATTTAACACAATCGAATAATTACAGAATAACCAGAGTTTCATCACAATTGGATTATCCATTTCATTATTTAGGAACGCATAAAGGTACAAACATACGAACATTCATTTTTATTCTTATAGAAGATAAGTTCTATGTGTCGAATGTGTAAACTTTTTATTTTACCACATTTATAATAACAAAATTAATAATTACTAATTATTTTGTTAATTTTGATTTCGTCAAATTAATTGCATTTTAAACTAGAATTTACATTTAAATACAAAAATTACTAGAAAATCAAAAATTCTTAAATATATATTTTGTTTAGAGAGTTGTTATAATATTATGTACATATATTACATTTGTTTTATCATTCTTGTTCCAGCAGTCAGTGATGTAGCGTGATGTACGAAAATAGCACTGAGGAGGGCGCTGGCGAGTCGCGTGCGCAGGCGCATGTAGCTGTACTCCTCACACTCTACGTCCTTGTCTCTGTCATCGGTATAATTGGTGAGATAATTTACCTAATAAGGGTTTTTCTTTCAAATTTTCTATAAGTAGTGCTAGCTCTCTAACTAGTCTAGTAACTGGAATTATAACGGACGTATAAGTATGTTAAATCTCATAGAAATATATCATTTCATATTATAACCACACTATGTGACGATGATGTTCTCTCGATGTCCTGAACGATTTGGGTCCGACTCCCCACCACGGCGGCCAATCTCATTGAGACTAGCCTACTGCGCCGGAGACGTTATACACGAGTATATGCGCAGACCCAAGAACACTCTGTATTTCTTTCATTTGGTGAGAGATCATGCTCTTCAAAGCACGGGGGTGAAACACCGCTAATTCCTTAACTCCTGATTGTGACGGGGACTTTCTTAACAGAAAGATTCTAAACTGAACTTGGCCCAACCCAGGGCTCGAACTCAGGACCTCCGAATGTGCACCCGTACAGTACATGCTAGCCACATACCACATATTCATTTACTGACAAACACCAATTAAATTATGAATTTTCCTAAACTCCAATTAACTATAGTACTTCAAAGTAATTAATAGCTCAAAGTGAATACCTAAGAGCTTTGTAGTATATATGTATATAGTGCATTATATACGCGTCTAGAAACGCAAACAGCATATTGAAGGCGCCACAAACAGTTGCAATAACACTGAAACTTGGTATGAATAGTCTCGTTTATTAGGTGTTTTAGTGTTATGACGCTGTTATGTGGAACATATAGTGTTCAGTTTTTAGATCACGACCAGTAACGTTGAATAATATATAAAAAAGCTTACGAGTCTGACTGGCTTAAGTAACTGTTACTCGTCAGGCCCATAAATTTAAAATTTACAGAAAAAAATTATTGAGAAGATTGAAGATTTTCTTGCGGAAATTGAGAGTTAATATGTATTAAAAATGCATTAAAGTAGTAATTATAAATCATAGCAAATTATATAAACAGTACATGGGTGACTGAGCTTTGCCCGGCGTTTTTCAGTAAACATATTATAAAAATGGCTTCTTTTTTCAAAAAAGACACCTATATAATAAATAAACTGTAAAAAGTAAACCTTATCTAAATACATAATTTGATTCATATTGTTAGAGCCGTTTTGGAGATACTGGAAATAAATGTATGTTTATATATATATATATATATATATATATATATATATATATATATATATATATAAGTATAGCTCATTTAATATCATAAGATTTATGATATTTGCTCAAAGACTATTATGAACTCTCTAAATCTTTTTCTAACAGGCTAAGCGTGTCAAAGCATTGTTGAGTATTTTAATTGGGTACCTACTTGTCTTTTTAATTTGGACTTAAGATTGACTTAAAAGATACGTAATTAAAACAGGGAAAAATTTTGCGAAATAAAAACCACTAAACAAACATATAACAAGAATTAAGTTACACTTAAGTTTTTTATATTCGTTTTAAAAACAAAGATAAATAAAATTGAAGTATCTGTTTGCAACGGCAAAATAACAGCTTTTTACTAAATACATATGAAATTATATGCAATATTTATAAGGAAAACATTATTTTTAAATTTTTTGTCTGTTTGTTTACTCCGGCTAATCTCCGAAACGGTTGGGCCGATTTTGACGGGATTTTCACTATTGGATCTCGCACCTATGATGTTTTCATGTGCGAATAATTTTCAACATGATTGGGATCCTCTTATTGGGAGTCCCGTGCCCAACACACGTTACAAATAAATACAGTACTGATTACAAATAAAAAAATCATTCATACGAATAAAATTACGATACATTATTGTTAAAAATAATTTAATTTAAAACTCAAACTATTGCAGGTAATGTAAGTTTAATGGCAGTGTTGGCATCAAGCGGCGCGTCCCGATTACGCACGCCGCAGCTGCTCAGTGCGTGTGCCGCGGACTTGCTGGTGTGCGCCGCGAGTGCCCCACTCGCTGCCACCAGAGCCGCCAGGATACACCACTTGCCGTGTCATGTCACACATTATATTGAGGTAAAGTAACTTTTATTATGTATTACTTGCCACTTGCCCTTGCTTTGCTCGAGTGTTCTTTAAATGGTTATATGTTTCTCCAAGTTCTCTATCTGTGTGCCCACCCAAATCCGTTTAGCCATTTTTAGCCATTTTAGTATAACATAATACATAAATTTTAATACGTGACTTCGACGTCGGAAGCCAAGAACTATCTTAGGCTACTTTTGACTACCAAGCTATATCTATTTCCACTCAATTCCATTGAACTGATATACTCTAGCCCACTCATAAACTCTAGCCTTTAATTTTATATAAAATATTAAGTTATCGTCATACTCTATCTTGTAAATTAAACCAAATAAGTATCTTTAGTCATAAAATAAGAGAAATAAGAGAAAAAAAGAACCAAACCCTTACGCTGCCAGGCTAAACATTCAGTACACAAATTCTAATAAATTTTAATTTTTACAGTCATTCCCAGTTGCCGCGAGTACGTTATCCCTAGTAGCGATGGCAGCAGACAGATGTGGCGCAGTACATCGCGGCCGCAGTTCTCTATGCGCCAGACCATTCTTAGCTGTTGGCCTTGTATGGATGACGGCATTATTACTAGGTATATAATTTAACACACATTCCAACAATTTATGATATACATTATCCAGAAATAGATAAGTAAATCTCAAGGGATATGAACATTTGCATATTGTTATGACACCTAATTTTCCTTCATATAGTTACAATTAGGGAAAACTGCTCAAGGCAACCTTTACGTATGAAAAATACATTAGTACACAAAGCTTTAACATAACAACATTATTACGCTAATATACAATTATTTTAAGCGAATTACATTTTCTTATGAGTATCGGAAGCATTAAAATATTATTTGAAATAATATACATATAATTGTAATGCAAAAGTTAAGAGAATTATAATTGCATCTGTGCATAATATACAGAAATCAATCGCAAAAATTAAAGCGAGCAGCCATCACCAAAAATTCACGTTTACAAAGTTCATATTTACATTAATATTCACAGGTGCTGTAACAATGATAGCAACATGTCTATCATTTCCGCCACTAGCTGCTGCCCATGCGATAATCACATATTGTGTGCCAGTGGCTGCAGTAACCAAATGCCATTGGGCAGTGCGAGTCAAACTCACAGCACTCTCACTCACTGCCCGCGCTGCACATGGAGAACTACCTCTACCAGTCCCCCTGATGCGCAGACCAACTCATGTAATCATAGTCGCAGGTGTTGGACCGAGGGAACGTCGTGATGCTGTTGACGTCGGAGATGTTAGAACAAAGAAATTACAACCCAGCCTCCTTGGTCCACAGCCTCCAACATCCACTCTAAGATCAAGGCGGCGTCTTGGGAACGTACTTATTGGTATCGCCGCAATATTTGCAATCTGCTGGTGCCCTCATGCGGGAATAGTCATATGCAGCACATTTGGATTAAATGCTCCAATTATTATATCACAGTATGCGCTGCTACTAGGGCATGCTCATTCAGCACTAAATGCAGCAGCGTATTGGCTATTGAATCGTCACGCTCTTACTGCTGCGTGTGCAGCTTGGCGAATCCCTCAACTGCGAGTGCGGGAGGAACGGCCATCTTCCACCAATGAGGCTGCACTAGGAGCTTTCCACCCTAGACTTGCGCGACCTGCTCCCTCTCCCCGCCCTCCACCTTCCAGCTTTCTTTATTGATGTACGTCTATCTTCTAAGCTCTCTCGATCTGTGATTCCTATCTCTCAGTGCCTCGTATAGTCTACAAGTGCGTCTCGCTTCGTCGTTATAAACGTTGTTTGAGATTTTATTGAATATCCGTCAAGCAATAAAGTGTATAAAACTATTGTGTGTTTTATTACTGGTTTTTATTTTTTGAACCTATTAGACTGTATTTTAACTGTATGTTTATATAACAAAAAAAATATAATTCATTTAACATTTCCAACGGAAGGGACATGGTAATAAATTTGCGCTAAGAGGGTTCGAAGTAGCGTTAAAGTGAGGTATTAAAGGTTGTAAGACATAATGTGAGATTTATATTATGTTAGGTCAATTCATTTTATTGAAGAAGGATTAGCACTTATAATTTAACTAGCGGCTCACCCTCGCTTCGCTCAGGACGTCCCTGGTTACGTTTTACCGTTTAGAATAGATTTCTCAGAGATGAGATATTTTCCCGCAATAAAAAATATACTATATGTTGATCCGGATAACCAGCTATCATCATACTAAATTTCATCAAAATCTGTCCAGTGCTTTTCTCGTGATGCAGTCACAGACAGACAAAAATTCTAAAAACTATAGATTTCTATCGACAATGATTATTTCAATCAGATTTTCCAAAAAATATTTAATGTACAGATTCGACTCAATTAGAATTTTATTATATGTATAGATGTGGTAATAATAAATAGCATAATATGTACATACTTGCTTGTTTTTGTTTTACGCAAGTGATATATCCATTTTAACTTAATAATATAAAAAAAAAATATTTTACCTGATATAGCCCAAGATTTTTAAAACATTGTTCTCTTAACCTCTCCTTGAGTGGATTATTATTTGCTTGTAATAATTTAGACTTTACCTATATCAAAATTCATTGAGATATTACTGTGTAAAGATATTACAAGACTAATTTTAACATTTATATTTTGAAGGAAGTTTCTTGAACAAATAAATTATACGTTTTTCCACAGTAGAATATTAAAAACAAATAATTTTTATTCAGTTTGCGATTTTGTTTATTGAAAGAGAATGATTGAACTTCGTCTAGAACTGCCGAAGTTAGATTTTACTTACTAAAAACGTAAAAGCATTTGCCGATTTACAATTATTTTACCACATCTTGATATAGAGAATAACTTTATATAATACTAACAAAACCCGCGGCTTCACTCGCTCTAAAACTACGAAAAAGACCTCTAAAAAGGTAGTTTCATACAAACTTTCATCCCCTATTTTACCTCCTTATAGAATTAATTTCGAAAAATGCTAAGACATGTATTTATTTAATTTTTTTGAAGAGCATATATACCAAGATTCAAGTAATTCTGATAATAAATATTTATATTTTATTTGCGCTAACATTTGTAGAATATAGACATTTATCTAACATGAACAAACACACATACATGCACAAACAGACTCTGCAGAAAACTATATCTAAAAACATGCTTCTAAAACCATAATTTAGTATAGTTACACGATATATAGCTGAAAAGTTTGTTTGTTTGAACGCACTAATCTGTGGATCTACTGGTACAATTTGAAAACTTCTTTTTGAGTTGTATAGTCTATTTATCGAAGATAAAGTTATAGGCTCTCTTACATGATACATCATACTAATATATAATTACGGCGTATAAAAAGCTGAGTAATTTAAAAAAATAAACGATCCGGATTGCGAGAGTTATGGCCGATTTCACCAACGTCACCTGAGTTTAAGGGATCCCCTAAGAATGGTTAGGGGGCTGTTAGGTGACAGTTTCTGTTTCACCGACGGCTAGGGGTCACCTAAATGTTAAAATGCCACGTAAATATAGGTACTAGACATACCTACTAGCTCTGACGATGGTAAAACGAAATTTAATTTAGGGACTAGTTTAGGGGAACTTTTAAGCTAGAGATCCCATACGTAGGTGGTAGCTTAAGGGATGTTGGTGAAATCGGCCATTAGTGTTACAATAAAGATTTATTTTATTTTTATGTAAAACCGCTAGCTATGTCTCAGTAGTGTTAATAAACGTCTCTATTACAGGAGCATAATGCAGAAAAATAATTTTTTTAATGTAAAAGACATTTTAGCGCAGTTTTACGTCTCTTAAATACTTTATTAGATTTACTTAATTATTTTTAATTAAACTATCTTTTCGGATTGTTTCGTGAAATTATTTTGATTTTTGGTTCCAGACATTTCCAATGCTTTTGGTTACCCATAGTAAGAGACAAAGTTCTTTGACGTCTCAAAAGCGTTATTTAAAATACCCTCCTAAGTTTTATTTTTATTTCTTATTAGTTTTGACGTTTACGCCTACTTAAAAAAATTAGTTACAAAGGATAAGTTCAGGAAAGCTATCAAACTGTTTGTTATGAGAAAATTTCAATTTCCACCCACATTTCTTTACTTTAGTTTTCATAAAACAAACACTAGCCGGCTAGAAGTAATCCGCTTATATCGTTGAGGATATTATAAATTATAATAGAAAAATGATCTACAGTAAAATGAATAATCGTATAATATTAAAATTAGAGCAATTCTTGTTTATATATAACTAGCGACTCACCCACACTTTGCTCGGGTTCCCCATACAAACTTTCATCCCCATTTTTACCCCCTTAAGGGATGATTTCCGGCATAAAAAGATGTCTATGTCCTTCCCAGGGTCTTAAACTATCTTCTTACCAAATTTCATCTAAATCGGTTCAGTAGATTCAGAGATTACCCCCTACAAAGTCACAATCTTACAAACTCACAAACTTAACCTCTTTATAATATTAGTGTAGATAAAATATCGTTTATCTTGGAAACGGAACTAACGACTTAGATAAAACTTTGTATTTAAATATAGTTTAGTTTTTCAAATTTATCAATACAGGTATCTTTTCTAAAAAAACGCATTTTTTTATCTTTTCCAAAAAAATACGATTTTACGAATAAAATGCTGAGCAAAGCTCTACTATTTTATTAAAGAAAGTCTTATTTTATGAAAAATTTTGCCATAATATGTTATTATGTATTTATATCTATTTATATATTAAAATTAATATATTTGTGGACGAGACAATTTAAGTTATTTTAATCCGCTGAAACACCACAAAATATGCGTCCGCAGGTTACTGCATGCCGTTACTTAATAGTGAAAGTAATGCTCCAGTTTCTTATACTGCGACAAAATTTAAACGTAATCTAAACTCATTTAATGTTCATGTAGTTGATAACAATTATTTTTGATAGTATTACATTTAAGAAATGAACGGAGTGGCGTTTTTGAACTGCACTATCACAAGCTCCGATAGCCGTGATCGTCTAGTGGTTAGGACCCTACGTTGTGGCCGTAGTAACCCAGGTTCGAATCCTGGTCACGGCAGCGCAAGCTGTTACGGCGGAGTCTAATTTTATTTAGTAGTCTATAGTAATTTTTATTTTTTATTTGTTTGTTTCTTAAATATACGGTGTGTAGCTTATCATATTACTATTATAAATGCTAAAGTTTGTATGTGTGCATGTTTGTTACTTCTTCATACAAAACGGTTGGACAGATTTGGATGAAACTTAGTACATAGATAAGACCTGGAATAACAGATAAATAGGCTATTATTAGTACAATAATTTGCCAAAATGAAAAGGCAACGCTAATCGTTTGCCAAAAGATAAATAGATATATAATATATTATATGTAAATATACAGAAAAGAAAGAAAGAAAAGTCTTTTTTTGTATAGAGTCGCAAAAATCACCTAGGGACGCACCCGAGCGACGTGTGCTAAGTCACTATTACCTTATAAAAGCAGTCCCAAATATTTAAATAACTAAAGTACGTATTTATAAGCTCATGAAGAAGCAAAACTAATACTTTCTTAAAATATTTGACATTTTAAATGACTATCTTTTTGAACTTTGTCGAGGTTTTATTTTATATTTTGGTTCCCGACGTTTTGAATGCTTTATATTAATCATGATCACGGGAGAGAGGTTTTAGACGTCTCAATAGTTATAAAATAGTGGTTACAGACAGTATCTACCCACAAAATTAATACAATAATTTTAAAGAAATTCATTCAAAATGTCATATATTATCATAACAAAATCTATACTAATATTATAAAGAGGCAAAGTTTGTGAGATTGTGAGTTTGTGAGTTTGTGACTTTGTAGGATGGTAATCTCTGGATCTACAGAATCGATTCAGATGAAATTTAGTAAAAAGATAGTTTGAGACCCTGGGAAGGACAGAAAACTTTTTATCCCGGAAATCATCCCTTAAAGATAAGGGACCCTTAAAGATAAAGACGTGAAAATGGGGATGAAAGTTTGTATAGGGAAGCAAGCTAGGGACGAAACCGAGCAAAGCGAGGGTGAGTTGCTAGTATAAAATAGCGAAAAATCAAAAAAAGATACTATTTAAGAGCAAAACTATTTAAAAGCCAGAGAACCGCTTAAAATCAAGCAAATGTACTCTCACGACACTCTTACAAGTCAAGTGTGTTTCTAACTGGTCTCTAGAGATTGTTACGAATCACTGAGCCCCTGGATAGCAGTTCCGAAACGGACAAACACCTTTAGTCGGGCAGAGCTTCCAAAGTTTTTAATTGCCCAAGTTTCAACATTATATCCAAAAAAACTTTGCTGATTTGCTAATTCAAATACTTAATACTCGTAAATAAAATGAAGCGAAATCTCCAGTTAATGCCAATTGGTTTAGTCCAAATACAGTTCGATGCTTAAACAATTTAAAAAATTGTGAAATATAAAAAATTGATATCAGAATTAATAACATAAAAAAATTAATAATAATATTAAATAAATATAAGTTGAAACTTGACTTTAAATTCTGAATAGTATATAATTGAAACAATTTAAAAATCTATTAAATATCTAAAAAATCCGTAAAGCACTTATTATAATTACAGCTTAGCCAATATATTCCTAGCTATAGATAAAGCCCCCGTCGTGTTGAAGGAAGGCCCGTGCCAGCACTTTAAATAGGCCTGGATACATACATACAATATATTCTCTCAAATTAGTTTGTTTATCCTTTTGTTGAGATGCTACGTAAGTACTTATTATCAAAGCATAAATATCAACTATAACAAAGAGATCAGGCCATTGTTTATAAAATCGTTTAACGAATGAGTTGCTTATATCTCTCATAAATTAATATCCCAAAATTAAAATTATAGACAATTAATCAAAAAAATAATCAGAAAATTAAATAACAAATTGTATTCCAAAGTAATATTTTATTTAAAATTATCTTAATCGCTAAATTAACATCAGAAAAAAATATTATAATCATAGTAAATTGTGTTTTGTGATAACCCTTTATCAGTAACCGATGCTCACGTGGCTACTTATCTTTCTGACCGCTTCAATTCATTGGGCTGAGGCACGAGGTACGTATTTACTATTTACATATACATACATCATATGTACATAAAATTTAAATAAATACAAAGACGTAAAAATCCTAGATTTTTTTCTTATTAAGTAGTTACATCCAGAGCATTTATAAAAAAATATTTTTACTTTTAAAATTTATGAGGTTAACAATAATACATTGTCTAAAGCATTACAACTTGATTCTATTTTTAACAAATTAAAAACTTAATTAATATCATAAAAACATGAAAATACAAGTAATTACAAAGATTTTTTGCAATAAAGTGACTGCAGAGATCTGCCAAGTGAAGCCTCCAGAGAGACACTGTCAGATAGAATGGGTTGTACGAGACAGGTGGCCACATAAGGAAAGGTACAAGATATTAATAAAAATACTGTTTTATATAATACTAGCGAGTCACCCTTGCTTCACTCAGGTTCGTTCCTAGGTACCTTTTGACTCTTAGTATGGAATAGTTTTTTTTTCAATATTTTTTCATGAATTTTCCGATGTTTTAATATATATTCTGCTATTTGGGGTGAAGACAAATCCAACAAATCAAATATCATAAAAATCCGTCCAGCAGTACTCGAGTTATAAGTGTTGTAACAAACCCGACTTTGTTTTATATTCTAATAGGTATTATAAACGCGAAAGTTAGTAAGAATGTATGTTTGTTACTTTTTCACTCAAGTAACTACTGAATGGATTTTGATGAAACTTTGCAATAATATTGCTCATACATCAGAATAACACATAGGTTACTTTTTATTACGGAAAAAAGTACGGTTCCCGTGGGTTAGATTTGTTTTTGGAGGCGAACCCGAGCAAAGCGAGGGTGAGCCGCGAGTACCTATATAAGATAAGGTTCTATGTATTTATTTAAAAATTAGATACGATTATGTTATTATCTTCCCGTAATATTTTATTATTTATTTTATCTTATTTTCTACTAATATTATTAACGCGAAACTTTCGCGTTTTCCTTAACTCTTTCATGAAACTTTACAGTTATATAGCTTATAGATAAAGCATCATATTGCCACATAAATGCTATAATTTAATGAAACCGGGAAAACGCCAGTTTACAACCAATAATTTTAAGCATTTCATAATATTCAATGTCAATATTCAATCTATTTAATACTGGAAATGAAACTGACAACGAAATACGTATACTAATTAGAAATACAAGGGTATTTACACACTCAGAGGAATTTTTCCATAAATATTACAATCAAATTGTAAACAAAAAAATATGGTCAGATGGTTTAGGCATATGGAAAGATTGATGTTAGGAAATGTTAAACGATGTATTTAGTTGGAAGTAAATTAGAAGGAGACTTTAAAAGACTTTATTATCATAAACATAAACATAAAAAAACGTGTAACGTACGATATATTGATATAAAGTATTAATAAATACAGAACCGTTTAGGCCAAGAAAATATATAAATAATATATAATTATTCACTATTGTAATGTTAATGGCAACATGCAATTGATCATTAATGTTAATTTTTATACAAAATTTTGTAATATTTTTTTTAATGTATGTTAAATAACAAGAATTCATCGAATGTACACACGCCCTAATCTTGCGTTCGCTTTGTAATTTTACTCAATAGTCTTAGGATGAAATTCTCAAAATTCACAAAGTTAATTGAGTTGGTGACATCCGCATTTACCCAGGGGTTACTAAGGACCAATCCACACCATAGTGCCGATCATGGTTCTTTTCGGTTACGTATCTGTAGTCTGGTTTTTATACAATAAATTTATACAATGTTTTTATACAAGAATATTTAATGTCTAATGATCGGTGCATTCATACTGTCAAAGTCGAGCTCCGGTCGAATCACACTCCAGCAACGTTTCTTATAAAACAATACCAGACCGATATCGAACACAGAACAGACTGGGATAAGATTGTGACTTCCTAGATTGTTAAAGAACCAATAATTTAACACTTCAGAATTTCAGCTACCTCCATGGACGGGTAAACCTACCAAATCGTACAAGGAGTAACAAACATACACTATAATTTTTCTCATTTATAATAGTAATGCGATGATAATTCATATATAATATTATCAGCACTTTCTTCTCTGATTATTACTTAAATCATATTTTAGATGGGTATACGATTGGCGTCTCCGCAAATGCCACACCATCCGTTGGGCGAACCACTGCCCCGACCCGAAACCGGATACCAACAACTTTGCATCAGAATGTGACTGCCTGCTGGAATGCGCTGGATGGGCCTAAATGTTTCATTAAAATAATAATATATCTTATATTACTGAAATAAATTTTATATTATACTTATCATTAGTTATATATTGTCATCAATGTCTTAAATATTGTATGACTTTTGCGTCTTTATTTTATACTTTATAATCACACATAAATTGCCTTTTATTTTATAATATATTCATAAATGCCTTATATTTATTTATAACATGGACTGGAAAAGTCCCTTTCAATAAAATATTTATAAAACATGAAAAAGCACAACATTGAAAAACACGAACTCGTCTCGTCTAAAGGAATCAAATAAGCAGAAATTCTAAGGTTGTGCTAGTAGCCTTCAATACTTGAAGAGGTCCTCAATACTTATTAGCATAACTCACCTAACCTTAATTCAGGATGCACCTCCTGGCTCCTTCAACAGATTAGAAAAATGGTATCAAATCATTGTATTTTCACCCGAATTGCACATATCCAGAAAATTTTTCATTGACATGACTATTAATAAGGTTAAAATCAACTTTTTAGTTTTAATTACATAATTATTGAATATTAAGTTTATTATAATAAGTCAAAAAGTCCAGCTGCTCTTAAATCATGCAAATTTAAACAAACAAACAAACAAACAAACAAACAAACAAACAAACAAAACCCCAAACCTCGTTGATTTGAATATTTTACTTTGATTTGAATTTAATGTTAATTTTGCTATTTTTTGATAAAGTATTAAAATTTTGAGGATGTTAAAATTTTGTTAAAATCAGAGAGAGAGAGATAGAGAAATATTGCAAGAGACAGAGATTGCTAAACTGATAGTCGCAATGATATATACGAGTAAACTAATTAAACAATCATATTTTATTCAAAAATCGCTTTGCAAAATTAATGACTTGAAGTAAATTATTTTGTCATTCAACTTTTTATGAAGGTAGAGATAAATTCATGTTTTAGGTTACCTGCAATAGCAAAAAATATATTTTTTTATTTTTGTCAAGAATGCCTTAAACTAAGACCTTCTCCACTCTTGTATTCTTCATCAAGTATAATATATTGATCTTTAGATTTAAAACTATTAAAGTTTTTTTTTATAATCTGGTATTAGCATAATGGTATTAAATCGTTGTATTGTCAGCCAAATACACATACTTAAATTATTTATACTAGACAAATATTTATCATTGAAGCTTAAAAGCGTATTAAAAGTTACCTTATATCCGTCCCGTGTAAAAGTTTCGCAACTTTTGACCCGCTTAATAACTACCAATAAAAGTCACTGTTTTGATTCCCGCATAGTGCTAATATATTATGTATCAGTACTATTATAAAAACAAATTGTATGTGTGTTTATATTTGTTACTGCTTTCTGAATCGACTGTACGGTTTTAGATGGAATTTAGTATAGGAATATAGTCTGCTGTTACGCACCTACGAACACACCGGATCCGGAACGAAGCTAGGTAAAATTGCTAGTTAATCTACACTAATTTAGAGTTTATTTGTAGGAAGTAATCTCTGGAACTACTGAACCGATTTAGATGAATTTTGTTATGAAGGTAGTTTGAGACCCTGGAAAGGACATAAGGTTTTTATCCCGGAAATCATCCCTTAAGGAGTTGAAAAGGAGGATGAAATTTTGTATGGGTGTTTATTTCTCAAATAAGGGATATAAAGATCATCATACCTATAAAACGTACTTAGAGACGACCCCAGCGAAGCGAGGATCAGTCTCTAGTATGTAACACACGCAATACGTAAATCTGAGTCGTGAAAAAAATTGAAATTATAATAATAATAAAAAAATTGCTTTTGCCAGCGAAATATCTCTATTGGTATTCATAAACGAAACTTTTACCTTCAAGTGTAGGAATCATAACAGAAATTTGTTATTCCTGCCATAAACAAACGAAGAGGACAAGTCCTTTGATTTTACTTCTCTTAATATTATCCCGTGAATTCTTAAACACTGAATGGATTACTTCTTAATCCCTTTTATTTTTAACTTCTTTTAGGAAATGTAAATCATTTATTTGAAGGCAATTTCACTTAAATTAAAATACTTAAGTAAAAGTATAAAGTCTATCAACACGTAAGTATATTTGTCTATATGTAAATAATATAATTTTTGTATATAAAATTGTTGGAGATTAAATTGTTAGCTCATACTATTAGCTATTTTTCGAAAAAAAAAAGAATTAATTGTGAAGTAAATTAATGAAATGAAAAAAATGAATATAACGAAAGGAATAATTATGTAGCTAGCGAATAAAATTGTTATATATTTATGTGTGTGGGTAAACCTTAAAAAGGTACTTAATGGCTGCGTCCACAACGCGAAGCTTGTCGAGCAATAAATCAGTGCGTATCCAACTACCAAGCATTTCACTTGTCCCCATCAGTATACATAACAAAAATAAAGGCCGCTACAAAGATTTCCGATGTCAAGCTCACTGAGACTAGCCAAATGCGCAGGAGATATTATAGTGCACAAGTGTACTCGCTCTATTTCTATGAGTCACAAATTCCGATGGGACGACAATTCGATACGACCGGTGAGAGTCACGCGCAGGACCGACGCGACGGCTCTAAGTGCTGTCCGAGGCACTGGTTTGAAACACCGCTAACTTCCTAAATCCAGGCTGTTACTGATAGTTTCTTAACAGAAAAAGCCAATAACTAACTTGGCCCGACTCGAGGCTCGACTCCTGCACCTGCGGATCTGCAGCCATTACACCAGCGAGGCAGTTCACTTGGTACATACTATAGTACATACTATAGTACATAACTCATGCTATTACAGAAACAAATTATGTTATCTGGTGTTTGTCTGATATGATGAATAAAACTGTACCCGATCTCGAACCTGCTACCTAAGGTTTAACACAAAGCACATTTTAAACAGTTCAAACAATGTATTACACGTGTAGATGCCACTCAGTAGGTCAGTTAAGTTGCTTTCATAAAACAAACAACTAGGTTAATACTTACATGAGTTAGGGATAATTAAACTGTAAGAGCTCGTTCACACCGAAATTCTCATTAAATGACTGAATATTCACGAAATAAAAGCCAATATTCAACAGAAAGAGAAATTAAATTAAAATAAACCATTTGGTGCCTTATTAGTAGATGATAGGTGACTTTTTTCTTTTACATTCTTTCATTTTACTTTCTTTACTTCATCATCACTACATAATATAAAACAAAGTCGCTTTCTCTGTCCCTATATCCCTATGTATGCTTAAATCTTTAAAACTACGCAACGAATTTTGATGCGGGTTTTTTTAATAGATAGAGTGATTTAAGAGGAAGGTTTTAGTATATAATTTGTTAAGTTTTTGTATACATTGGCTAAAATATAACGATATTTGTTGGAGGTGTCGGAAAAAATAAGACGTCTGGGAGCTTTCAACGAAAACGCTGCCTAAACCCTTTGAGATATAACAAAATAATGTATGGTGGAATTGTGTACCTTATATAGGTCTACAGAAAAGTCCGCGATGGCATCTCTTAAGGATAACATACTATAATATCCATTTTAATTTAAAACGTACCTAGGGACGAACCCTAGCGAAGCGAGGGTGAGTCGCTAGTAATAAAATATATAAAACACATATACCCAAATTATGTACCTCTTCCTTTTTAAGTCGGCCAATTAACTAAGCACAGCCGAAAATAGAATTAAGCTCCCGTTTAAGCTTCCAATCCTATGTGGACCCTTATAAAGTTGGTGCCATGTTGTTTCGTGGTTCTAAAGTATACTAAATAAAATATCACGTATATTATTTTTTGCCATGTTTATAAAATTAAACTTATACAAATATTCTTAATGTAAAATTAACTTTGTCTATTTGTTTATTACATTTTTACTACATGTTATCTCTGCCTCGCTTACCGTGCAAGTGCAACGTCTATCAAAAACAAATAAACTTATAGAGCTTTAATATAAAAACCTCATTATATCCGTTATTTTTAGAATTCATTATCGCCCAGACCAAGCCGTTGGAGATAACTGGGCTAAAATTTGCATATGTATCTATAATAACAGACTGTGGGTTAATTTGACTGTTAAAAGAATCAAAAGATTGGGTGGGGCTGTGTCGCACACCGTCGTTGGCTTAACGTAAAATGTTTATTTTAGCCAGTCGCTGTGTTTTTGTTTTTTAAAAATGCTTTGCATATTTTATAACAAATTAATTAATTAATTAAATAAATTAATAATTAATAGCAACAACATAAATATAACATAGCAACGAAAAGAATATATATCATTTTTCAGACAAAAATAACGGTTACTATGGCAACCTAATGCAACCTTTTTCTTTACGGTCCACTTTTCTGATCCCGAAAATGATGGTACCCATATATTTCGGTGTGATTTTAAAGAAGTTTCACATAAAAAATGGCGGCAAAAAAAAGATTAGGGCTGTACGGAAAACAATATTATAAATTTAAAAAAAAACATCAAAGATGGAGTACGTTTCTAGTGTTACAATAAATATAAAATTATATAATGTAGGATAGACACTCTACTCAATGTGATACTACAGTCAATTATGCGGGACATATCTCAAACAAAGAGGGTGTATATAATATAATGTACATAATAATTTAAGCACTTGAATTCAAATTTGGGTATTACTATATGATATAAGATCGTAGTTTGACCTTAATGGTCCACTTTGGTGCCTATATAATTATTATATTCTATATAGAATACTAAAGTGGACTTCTTAGGATATTCTAAGAAGAGCCTCCCATCATATCATAACAAAATAGAGCCAAGTCCTATTATATATATATATATATATATATATATATATATATATATATTTCTTGGAGTTAAATATGTAACTTGGCGAATTTTACTATATTATTTTATTGCCACTAATTTCTAGACCTTTTCTGAATGATACTCGAAGACAAGAGGTCAATTTGTGTATAGAATAAAGCGTTTTGTTATTCATAATTATGGTGCGTAGGTCGTATTGTACGTAAAATTATTTTTTTTTATCATCAAATGTGGATAGTGTAATTTAGAAACGTTTAGATATCTATTTTCCTAAATATCACATAGTAAGACAAGGTCGGGCGCGGCGTCAATCTGCCCCCGCCTAACTATTTTCATAGACTACTCATGAAACAGAGGCAATTACTGTATAATTTGTCAAACTGTTTATGACTGCTTATCTGAGTTACAAAAATGTTAATATTTAGCAAAAGGAATCACTTCAAGCTATAATTTTTTTAAAGACTATTTAATTCTCAAAAATATCTTTTTAAAAAGTATATTAATAAAATTTTGCTCATTTAATTATCTCAAGGAAAGTACGATAAATGTAAATCCAATCAATATGCTTCTCATGTATTTAGCCCTTTTTAACGTCCCAATAGTACGGATCTCCTTTCAAGGCGAGGAAGATCAGGCATCTTTCGAAAACTTCCTAGGTTCTCTCGGACATTCATCGTTAGGCAAGTGGTGATCATGTTGAAAGCGATTTGCACTCAAGAATGTTAGAGATTTGAACCAGCTGCACTGGACTACCTTAACATGATATATAATCAAAATTCATTGAAACAAACAAACAATTTAACAAAACTACAGCTATCTGTATAATTTATTTTACTTACTTTCTTTATGACATATTCTCTCGTTCTAAATCATTTTATTTTTTTATTAACTTAATTATTTTTTTTACTTTCAGTTCTATCTTTTTAGTTTTGATCTCAGAGCTTTATATTATCCCTTTAAGATATTTAAATAAAAGCAATTATAATATTAATATGTATAACAATACTTCGAAATTAAATTACTTTCAATTCTTTCTAAGGAAAAAATAATAAAAGCTCTAGTAAAATTATTCTATACAAAACACTCCCTTAATACGATCGTGCTAACAACGCCAGTGCTTGGCCGTCGCGGCAACAGGCTGGCTTTGGCCTCCTTTTTATTTTTTTACTACATTTAAAATAAGAACATCTTTTATTCGAAAATGGGGAATAAAGTAGTAACATTTACAGAACAACAACTAGAAGATTACCAGGTGAGGTAGCTTGAATCTGAAAATATTATATTGCGGATATAATAACGCATATAATATATTTATTATGTACAATATGTAATATAATAAAATAAATACATTAATCGATAAAATGGTCAATTATTTCATATTATGACATAAATCAAACTGATAAGACTTTTTCTTTTTTAATTACTTATAATTAGATTTTAACATTCTTGTAATATAATTAAATGTTCAAGAGAGCTAATAAATCTATTACCCGAAATATCGTAAGCACCTACTACTAAAGATAATATAAGTGTGTTAAAGGATAGTCTGTCCGTTAATAAAAACATCGATCCTTTTCAAGCAAACACAGTATCTCTAATATACTAAACAGTCATATAACACATTATAAAATATTATATTTATATATGTATAAGAATGTGTATGTTGGTAATTCTTCCCCTCTTGAGCGACTTGACCGATTTTAATATAATTTTTCTATGTACTTATGTGGGGTCACTAGTATAGTTCTTAGCTATAATAGAATCCAGTAGATGGCGCTGTCAATTTTTTTTTAATTTGCAGACCAAACTGGGACTCACCGGGTCCTATAAACTAGCTATATAAATAAAAATGAATGTTGCTAAGCGCAAAACTCGAGAACGGCTCGACTAATTCAGCTAATTTTTATTTTTCGTATGTTCCTTAAGGTACACGGAAAGTTTTAATAAAGAGAAAAAATATAATATATATAAAACAAAGTCGAGTTATTTACACCATTTATAACTCAAAAACGGCTGGACCAATTTTTATAATATTTGATTTTTTGGATTTGTCTTAGTCCGGAATAGGATAAAAAGTAATAAAACAAAAAAAATTAACGAAAAAAAAATTAAATTTATATGGCTAATAACTATTTATCACTATTTAAAACGTACTAGCGAGGAACCAGAGCGAAGCGAGGGTGAACCGCAAGTTTAAAATAAAAATAAATCGTATAATACGATTTCACGTTCAATTTTGATAATTGATAATGACCAATCAATTATAGAGCAACTGTATTTGTGCAAATATATGCAGGTCTATGAATATTAACGTACGAATATAATGTAAGTATTTGTAAATACAAATTGTAATGAATATATACATATATTGTAATAATATTTGTATACTATATGTAAATAATGCATAAATCTATTACAGTTGCAGGTACGTTTAAAGTCAATATTTACATATAACTTATATTATAAAAAAATTATATTAAATTTTAATGTAAAATTAAATGCTTTTTAGGTTTTCGTACCGACCATACTTTGATTAACCAGCCCTAATTTCTTACCTTTAAAACGCTTTTAACTCTAAATAATAATTTATAATTTTTATGTCAACAATAATTCAAAAAAGCATCACACTTGATATGATTAGGATACAAACTCTTTAAAAAACACAATTAAACTAAAACTGGAGGAGTGTGAATCAGTCTTGCGCTGTGGTTTTTTTTTATTGAGAAAACAACAGCTATTAATTAATAATTATTTGCAATTATTTGCAAATATTAGTAAGTTCTTACTGTGTGGATCAAAATGACAGCATTTCAGATTAATATTTTTATTTTTCATTTGTAAAAGTATATGGTAATAGTATTGTTTAGTAATTTGTCTTTTTAAATAATAGCAAACTAAATTAAAATTATTATCCTTAATTAATTTTAACTTTTTTAAAATACACATAGAACAATTATATGGCTTAAATATTTAATGTTATATTTTATATTTTTTCTTTATGGTTATAAATATAATAATGGCAACACTAAATATAGATTACTAATTAATATTTTTAAAATTGTAATAATTATAATAATAACCGCAAAAATTAAATAAATAATATTCCATATTCAATTATAAACCTAATTAAAATTATAAAAAATATTGTAAGGTAATTGGTGCAATTTTCATTTTGTTATTTGTGGGTAGGCTGCCTGTAACAACTGTACCTTCGAGACATCTAACACCTCAGTCTCTCCCGTGACCATGATCGCTGTAAAGTATTCGAAACGTCGGGAACCAAAAATCCAAATAAATCCGCGAAAAAATCCGAAAAGATAGGTTTATTTAAAAAAATATTTTAAATAATAATTATTACTTTATTTCTACTTTTCGTAATACAAAGATCTATACACAAAAATCACTTATAAAAAACATAAAAAAAAATTATTTTTACTAGTTTTAACTATTATTGAATATAATCTGATATTTTATTGATAAATACAAAAAAATAATTGAGAACAGCATACGCGAGACTCGCACTTGGCCAATTTTTCATATATTTATTTTATTTAACAGGACTGTACATTTTTTACGAGGAAGGAAATACTACGGTGAGACATCTTTAATTATTCGCCTTTTTTATAATTATGATACTCTAACTGAATTTTAAGCTACTTTCTGTCAAATTTTATCTTAATTGGGACTTTTTTAATAGTTTTAACCCATTAAATTCATACTAATATTATAAATGGAAAGTGTGTTTGTGTGTCCTTCTTTCACATTGAAAAAGAGTGACGGATTTGCGTGACTTTTTGTGTGGAGATAGAAGGAGGACTGGAGAAAGTGATATAGGCTACTTTTTACCGCGAGTGGTTATCTCATTCCCACGAGAAAACACGTTATAATACAACCCACAACAATTCATCATAGCTTTGCATATACATCTATATAAGATATAGTATATATATGTACCAGCTTATTTAGAGTGAGTTGCCACTCTCTTAGATCATATAATAATTAATGGTAATGCTATATTCGGTTGGGGGATCTCACTAAAAGTGAATCCATTTTCATGTTTCTATGATTTTGTACTTGAATATTCTTCAAATGGAAAAATATCTTTTTGGGGTTTTTTTTCAACAAAGTTCAACGTTTGTCCAAGTACGAGTCTGTTATGTAACCTGGTTAGTAGAATAAAGTAGTATTTATTAAAAAAACTAGCGACTCACCGTCGCTTCGCTCGGGTTTGCCCGTAGCTTGCTTCTCAATACAAACTCTCATTCCCATTTTCACCCTTTTAAGGGATAATTTCCGGTATAAAAACTCAAATACTATGTATTTTCCAGGGTCTCAAACTATCTTCCTACCAAATTTCATTTAAATCGCTTCAGTAGATCCAGAGATTACTATTACAACCTCACAAACTCACTAACTTGACCTTTTTATAATATGTATCAGTGTAGATAAATATAATTATCTTACATTTTGACAAAACTGCCAATTTCTTTCTTAAATATTGTGGACATGATGAATAAACTGAACAACTGAAAGTCAATCTGCCAACTCACTGTTTTATTTTTTAACCCAAATTTTTCACTTTTCCGTACAATTTTCAAATATTTCTTGTACCCAAACCTTGTCCTGTCAATTACAAACACAGCAAAAAAATAATTAGCTAAATAGGTGTAGCGGTTCTGCAATAGTTCGCTACATAGGTACATTTGACAATTGATTTTAACGCCTGATAAAAAAGATTAGCAACAACGCTGGTTTGTTACGGTTTAGCGAGTTCGTTTCTTCTTTAATAGACTTCTAAATCTTACATACTTTTCTATGATCTAAGTTTTACTAATGGCAAAAAATGCCACCGGTTGCATTGTCTTTTGTTTTTTTTTAATAATATAGATATGTCAATTCAATAATGATATAAGTAATCGAATTTCGAACATTGAGCTAATACTGGTTAATGATAATTATGTTTAATAATATCCAATAATCGTATTTGATAAGTTTTGGACATCATATTAATTATCTAGTCGTTTCAACGCAGATATGTGGCTTTTGCTTGTGGCATTTATTTACAATAAATAATTGCTTGTATTGTTGTGCGAATATTGCAATTTATTATATAATAATACACTAGTGACTTACCCACACTTTACTCGAGTGCCACCTTACGTACATTTTGTATTTAAGTATAACATTACTAGCGGCTCACCAAAAAAAAAACAAAAAAACTATCCAACGGGAATCGTACATTTTCCCGGGATAAAATACTTTTTATATATACTTTTTTTATAGCCTATGTACTATACCAAACTACAATCTATCTCTATGCTTTTCATTCGAATCGTTCAGTCGTTCCTGAGTTCGAATTCGGCGTGTTTGAGCAACAATCATCCAAACACCCATCTAAACTTTCACATTTATAATATTAGTAGGAAGTAAGATATAGGTATGTACATGTGGCTCTAACAAACGACTTGGATTTGGATAAAATTGAGTATACACGATAGTCTATGCACTGGACACAGGGGCAACCGAAGAAAACAGGGTCGCTAGTGTTACATAAATAGCACAAATATAATATATATATATATATATATATATATATATATGTGTGTGTGTGTGTGTATGTATATATATAATATGTTGGAACATTAACACACAGCACCATCTAGTTCCATGATAAGCAGTTGTTACACTACACATATATAACTTTAAATACATACATATAAATATAAACACCCATGACTGGAGTACAAACATTCATGCTCATCACACAAAAAAATGCCCCCAACGGGACTCGAACCCGCGACTATTAGCACAGCAAGAAGCGTAACTGCAAACTGAACCAATCGTGTCGTCTTAATATCCTTAATAGTAAAAAATAGTGTTAATATCCTTATAAATCCTGAGTATATACGTAACAGTATTTCGCCATCTTACCTGACGTTCTGGTTTTACGGCACGTAAATTCTTACGTAGCACGTGACGTTTCACACAAAAATCTGATTACATATAAATAGAGCTATTCCCCTATATTTTGTGGTACACTTTATTTTGCTTTGAACTAAAATAAACAATGTTTGGATTTTTATTTTTATATATTTACTAACGACTCACGCTCTCTGCGTTCGGTTTCGTCCCTAGGTACGTTTGAACGATTAGTATAGATAGACTATTTTATAGTTATATACATATTTTATTTGTTTCTAACTTAAACTTGACGTATTGTTGTGGATGGTAGGTCCACCACTATTGAAAGAAACCGAGGTAGTTTTTTTATATTTAAACCATCTCTGATATACCTCCAACAAAAGGAAAAAGAATTATTCAAATCGGTTCAGCCGTTTTTGAGTTTTAGCGATACTAACGAACAGCAATAGATTTTTATATAAATAGATTTTTATTGATTTTAAAATAAAAGGGAGAGCCGCAAGTGACCTGACACCGCAATTGTAGAATAATAAAGAATGATGATGATGCTGATGATAATATTAACACTAATTACTATGGATTATATATTAATCTAAAATAAATACATATTATTATTATATCGAAACTATCGATTTACGTCGCTTTAACCAGTAATATCTCTACATACGTAACGTACAATTTGTGATACTCCAGGACAGACTGTGATCTTTGTATACTGAGTTTCATTCAAATCCTGTCACTTCAGTTTGAAGGAGTAAGAAACATACACAAGAGCACAATTAAGTAGAATTTTTTGTATTTTCATTATGGACTAAGATCCGGCTGCAAGATTGCTACGTTCATACCGTATTTCATCAAAATCACTTTTTTATATACAATAATAAAAGGGACAATATATTTTGACCGGGGTGCCTATTAAAATATGCCCGCTAGTATGTTTAATTAATATAATTATGGTATGTGTTTAGATGTTACAAGAAGAGTTTAACCACTGGCAAAAAATGTAGAACACAATTTTATCAATACTAATATTATAAATGTGAAAGTAAGTCTGTTTTTTCTGAAACCTTTTCGCTCTTTAACCACTGAACAGATTTCTATAAAATTTGGCAAGGTCATAGATTGTATTATGGGATCGGACATAAGCTACCCTTGAGCCAGCCCGATCCAGCTACCGCCTCAGAGCTATAGTCTTCTATACAGCAAGAATAAGAAAAGAACAAAAGAAGAATATTCTTATCGAAAAATATTTAATATTTTTAAATATTCAACCACTTTTAAAATTAAAAAATGCTTATTTTGTAACAAAATTATAAATTCGAATTTCAAAATTGTCCTGCCACAAACATTAGTATTCCACATTCGTAGTTTGATATTCTATTTGTCATTTTAAATTCAATTTCAGTGATATTTCAGCGATGTGATAGGAATAAATTAAACAAGTTCTATAGAGACTGATAAATGAACATTTGTTTAAAGAACATTAGCAAGTATCTTCAGTAGGTAATAAATTGTTTTAAAATATACTTTTTAGTACAGAGAAAATCTACTGTAAAGAAAAAAAATTAAATCCTATTTTTAATATTTCATCCTAATAAATGAAAGATAGATACAGCCAGACAAACAGACAAACATTAATGTTAACTAATGCAAAAATCGAACCACGACTTTGGCTATAGTAGCAGTTTGATTGAAATAATTTACACTAAACCACCATGATCTATAATTACAATCATTATTCGTCAAATAATAACAAGTTTATTTATTTAAAACTAACGGCTCAAGATTTTTCCGGGATAAAAAGTAGCCTATGTGTTATTCTGATGTGATGTTCTCCTGACCGATTCCGGCCACGGCGGCCAATCTCATTGAGACTAGCCAACTGCGCAGGAGATAAATTATAGTGCACAAGTGTACGCGCAGACACAACGTGCACTCTCTATTCCTGTCACTCTCATACTCCGGTGGGACGACCACTCAACACGACCAGTGAGAGTTAAGGCGCAGGACCGACGGCTTTACGTGCTCTCCGAGGCACGGGGATGAAACGCCGCCAACTTCCCAACTCCGAGCTGTTATTGAGGCCTGTTATACAGAAAGTCTCAATAACTAAACTCGGCCCGACCCGCCTCAAACCCAGGGCCTACGGCTGCACAAGCCGTACATGCTAGCTACTACACCACCGAGGCAGTTCAATTCTGATGTATAAGCTATATTATTGTAAAGTTTCATTAAAATCCATTCCATGTTTTTGTGTGAAAAAGTATCAAATCTACTCGTATACATTCAAATATCCATACAACCTTACAAACTTTCTCATTTTAGTATTAGTAGGACAGTAGAACTAGTAGGACTAACTAGCTTATTTATTTCAAACTCCAACAGCTAAAGAACATGTTTTTAAATTGCTTATTATAAAGTGTTGTAACTCTTTTATCCGGTGTTTGTTTATGGCATGTTGTATACAATAATGTAAAGGCATTTATCGTCTGGGAGAAATGTAGCATTTTTACTTTACTATGCAAGAGCAAGTTAGGGTCGCAATGATTTTTCACCAGTATAACCAAGACAGTATGTGATTATTTATAGAGTAACTAGCATTGCCTGCGGCTCCGCCCGCGTTCAGATGAACAAATACCATTTTTTTAGGTGTTACATATTAGTATACTCTTACATTGCAGTTTTTGTATTTTTTCTCAGAAATGAGACATTTTCCCATGGTAAAAAATATCTTATATGCTGACCGGGATAACCAGCTAACACCATGCCAAATTTCATCATAATCTCTCCAGTGGTTTTTCTGTGATGCGGTAACAGACAGACAGACCAAAATTCTAAAAACTAAAGATTCGGTCTCTGTATCGATAATAATGTTTATTTCAATAAGAATTTCCAAAAAAATATTTAATGTACAGATTCCGCTTAGTTACAATTTTATTATATGTATAGAAAAATTCACATTCATTTGTCTTGTATGTTTGTACATTGTATAGTGGTTTTATATCTTGACGTTAGCTTCTATTCGCTGGGCTATATAGGTACCATAGTACAGGTCTCCTTCTAGGTACAGCATGAAAGGCTTGAGAGACCATATCTTTTGTATTGACAATAGCCTAAAATAAGTTGTTATAATGTATAATAATATATGTTTGTTTTTATTAATATTATTTTTATGTTTTTTGTGATTAATTATTATTATTACGGATTTTCGTGAAATAAACTGTCATCGTACAAATAAGCCTACAATTTAACATTGCGAGCTCTTATAGATATTACTTGATGTGATAAATCAATAACTGACAAAACTAGTATATGTATAGCTTCATTTTCAGTTCGACCTTTCAAACACTTTTCAGTTATCCAAACAAATCCATTTAAAGTAACCTTAGCCATTCTATAATATATAAATGGAAAACTGAGCCTTCGAATTTGTTAGCCATTTACTGGATTTCGCCACACGTTTTCTTTTCAATTTAATTAGAGTATAAACTTATATTACCTTTACCTTTGACTTACCTAATTGAGTCTATGTCACGAGCTGTGGCCTAAATAGACTATTTTATTAGAAACTTAAGGAATATTCAAAGAAAATATATTATTATTTATAAAATCTGTATCTCAAATCGATCTTAATATTATACTCCAATTTCAATTTTAAATAGGCAATCTTCTCCATAATTTAAATGATAAAAGTCTTCGCATAGCCGATTTTGAGCCGTTTTTACCACAGAATCTTAGAAAATTAAAAAGTTTCTATTGCTAGATTTAATTAAAATGTCTAAGAAAGTAAATGAACTAAAGACTGGTATAATAAATTATTTTCTAAAAGATTGCAAATCTTGTCTTGTCTATTCTCCAGACTCTTTTAATTATTTTTAATTTCATTTTAAAAAAGATATATACATTTACTAGCGACTCACTCTCGCTTCGCTCGGATATATAATCGTTGTGGAATAGATAGACTATGTAATATATACTACAATATACAGATATACATAGGAGTTATGAGTTGTATTATAAGGTGTTCTCTTGTGGGGTGAGAGGGTCTCCCGTGGTAAAAAGTAGCCTATATCACTCTCCAGCCCTCCAACTATCTCCACACATAAAAACCACACCAATCCGTCACTCTGTTTCAACGTGATGAAAGGCTGACAGACAAACAAACACACTTTCACATTTATAATATTAGTCATGTGTTTGTGAGATTTTTTTCATCAATTCTTAAAGGACTAAAGCATTTTTTCTGACTTTTATCAAACAGCGTATCTTTGAAATACCATTATTAAAGAAAGAATTTCATTGTATCTGCTTGATACGCTACCACTATAGCACACAGTTATCGATTAACTTCACGTTATTTCAGTCGAGCTCCTTTCTATTTAATTATTGTATCACGTGCGCAAATATTCAGTTGTAAGTTATCTAGTTTCAAAGTATTTCGTAATTTAGGTCGATTATAAAGCCGTTAAGCCGATTAGTAATATCATACTTTGTATTTAATACTACGGAGCTATTTTAACGCCATTGAAGTAATATAACAATTTTGCAACAAAATTTCATCATACTAGGATTTTCAAATAATTTCATATCACACACATCCCTATATATGTACATACTGCACTATAATCTCGATTTACCAAGTGTATTCTATAAAATTAAATACTTAAAAATTTCAAGTGCAATACAAAATGTAATTCTTACCAATCTATTTCAGAGTATTCAAAAGGTTTAGAGAAGTGAATCCAGAGCTTGTACCAAAGCGAATGACTGAAAACCAAGCTCACACGATAGCTGTTCCAGTTGAGGAAATAGAAAAACTTCCGGAACTAAAGGTAATCCACTTCCTGTCGCGTTGCCGAGCAGCGCATTGAAATTGGACTATATACATTAATTAATAAACAAAACAATTCAGTGCCTTTAACTCCTCTGTTTGTCCACCGATTTTTGTTAGTAGCTATTAACGAGCTTTAGTGTTATCAATAAAAAAAAATTGGAAGCAGTTAGTTTTTTTTCCTTATCGAACGTTTTATTTGACACAATTGGTAAATGAGAGTTATACGGAAAAAACTGTAACATTTCAACCGTCACGACACTTTTTATTATTTACTAAAAGCACCCCTTGTGATATGATAAGACGTCATTTATAAGTAGCAGCGATTGTAAGTGTTAAAAAATATATGTAGTAAGTAGTTCATATGCACTCTGATGACAGGGCATATTATAATAAGCATTTCTTGAGGCATGTGATTCCCACTGTGTGGTGACAATTAATCGCCAGATATTATGAGCTAAGGCTAATAAAGCTAATCACACACACACACACGCACACGCAACATAAATTATAAATCGAGTAATGAATGGGCGTATCCATAATATGCTGTTTTTTTCCTTTTGTCTGTTTTATTGTTTTTTTGTAATGTATTTCTGTTCTTTAATACCTATATGTAAACTTTGTCTACCCATCTATATTGCATAAATAATGAAAATCCGAAATTGGCTTATATAAGGACTTTTCTTTTTATGTACTTTCTATCTCTGTATGTAGCTGTGAATTTTAGTTTAAATAAATAAATAATGATTATGGTCAAATTTTGACCACTATGCAAAATAGTAGGTATATCTATAATATATAGTTTTATTCAAAGAATTTATAACTTAAATCTATAGTATATAAATTCTTGTTTTGTATCCTATACTAAAAAGTGTGAAATGTAAATATTTGTGTATAGCATTTATAAAATGTATACATTAAAATTTGTTTTTACATATTGGTGACTGTAAAAAATTGGCCGTTCAGGGAAAGCCCGATAGATGTGAAACATCTATGTTAATATTAGAATTCATAGTTAATAAAAACCAAAAAATTAAATATGAAGTAAAGTAAAGAAACATTAAGCAGCTTACACAGAGAAGCAGCAGTGTTTAGAATACACGCGCGCGCACACATGGGAGACGAGAGCGGTGGCGTAGAATGGGCATGATGGTATGACAACGTCATGCCGTTTACCGTCACGCTATACGAGTCGGTTTTACTGCCAAGGAGCGCCAATAGATGTTTCACATCAAAAATAAATTATGCAAAATTTAAAAACAGAAACAACACTAATCTCAGTACAAGTCTAATTTCAGTACAAATTTTATTTCTCGTCTTCTTTTTAAAAACTAGGTTAAGTCTCCCTCGCTTCGCTGGGGTGCATCCCTGATTACATTTGCTATTGAGATGTTTTGCTTTATTTCAAAACTTTGAGGCAGCGCGCGCTGATAAAGTAATTCAACAGTCAGTTTTTTCCGACATCAATAAAAGTTATTATGATTTCTGACAGCAAACACTTTTTATCAAAATAATTGTACAGTTTCACGTACATTTTTAATTTAACTTACTTTGCGTGATATATTTTCGAGGCGTTGCATCGCTTCATTTATTATAAGTGCACTTAAAGACACTGAGCCGAACAGACGTTAGAATCGTCAAACTTACACTGAAACTTCAGTAATTAAAGAACTTCAAACTTTATTATTTTAACTTGTGCACTCCGAACAACTAATAACCACTACACTGTACTATTCTAATTGGAACGGTATAATAATATATGAGTTTTTTTTTAATCAAAATAATAATATATAATATAATACCACCTGGGGAATTACCCGGGCGAAGCAAGGGTAAGTTGCTATTTTTATAAAATTAATTCATTTAATTATTACTGAATCTTTAAAAATTATGACCTAAGATTGAAAAAATAATATACTTATAGATACACTGACATTTTACATTTTTTTTAATATAATAATATAATAACTTGAAAAGTGTCTCTGAAAGGATACAGAGATCTTCTGTAGAATACAAATTATTCAATGGTAGTAGGTACAATTGCGTAAACTGAAGCAATATTTCATTCATTCAACACGAATGTACAAGTCCATTATTCTTCTGGAGGTAGGTAATAAAATAAATGTAGCTGAAGACAATGTAAAATATGGTTGTGAACTTGTATACAATGTTCATAAGCATACATCGTTTTCAATCTTTCATTGCTATATTGTTAACGTTCACTAAAAATAGCTTTAATGTGGTTTTAAATTAGCCTTTTCGTTCATTTTTACAATGTACGTTTAACGTTACTCATTATAGGGAAGAAAACATATGTACACCCCACTCCCCCCCCCCACCCCTCCCCCCACATACACACACAAACATTAATGCTGCCTCTGGTGGATCTTTTTAAAATGTTCAAAGAAAACAGGCTAATTGTTACACAAACGGTAAGGGAACAACGATTTTATAATTGCTTAAAAATACATATAAATTTAAATCATAAATATAGGTACATATATCTACATTCTACATACTTATGTAGAAATTTTTCTTTTCTGTTTTTTTTTGTTTAGTATCAGCTAGGTTATAGGTAAATTCTACCCAAAGACCTCCCTCCCCCCTTCCCCTATTTTCTAAAATAAAAGTAGCCTAACTTACTACTTATACTAACATCAGCTATCTGCTAGTAAAATTGATCCAGATGTTTCAGAGATTAGCCAGAACAAATAGACAGACAAAAATTTTAAAAATCTCTTATAAGTACCGTAAATACTTATGTATTTTGTAAGAAAACTGTTATTTTAACATTATAAACCGATACTTCTTTTATTTATTTGTGTAGATCATACAAGTAAAGTAATAAGTAACATAGCAGAAAACATTTAATATATTTTGATTTTATCTTTTTAAAGGAAAACCCTTTCAAGAGGCGTATTTGCCAAGTCTTCTCCCATGACGGAACCGGTAATTTGACGTTTGAAGATTTCTTAGACATGATGTCGGTGTTCAGCGAAGCAGCGCCACGAGATATTAAAGCCTGGTATTGCAGATATTTCATAAAGTATTTTCCACTTTGACGCAGAATTATATCACTTAATATAAGCAATTTTAAATTTATAACTTTATACCTACATAAAAACTAGTAAATGTATTTATGTACACTATTGAAAAAAAATATATTAGAGTTTCAGTAAAAGAATATTGTTTATATTTACTTATTTTTTAAATAGCAAAATATTTTTAACCCACTCTTCCTCTTCATTCAAATATAATTAATTACAGTAATATAAATATGTAAAAAGATATATGTATGAATATATGTAAGTACCTACATACATAAGTATATTTATTTTGTGTGTATATTATATTTGTATGATTTATTTATTTAAAACTTTTAGATATAATAACAACAACAATTATTGAATAAAAATGTAAGCGTAATGAAGTAATGAAAGAATACCCTGTGATGAGTACGGCTAACCCTCTTTAGAACCCCTTTATCTAATTTAAGACAGTTGCTTAAAATGACAAACACTTGTAGTTACATATTTAAAATTTTAGTAACAATACTCATTTTTATGAAGAAATTTCTATAAAACATTACTCATGTTTTGTCTACGTTTTGGTTTTTAATCTTAACAAATATATTTTTATGGTACCTACATAAAAAAATATATATGAAATAAAAAGAAATGCTTCTGCTCGAAACGCAAACATAATTTACAGTATCATTTCAAAATTCCCTGAAGCACTTTACCTCGTCTCAATTCAATACTAATATAACTTTTAATGAAATATTTAAAGTAAAACATTTGATATACTTACTCTTTTATAACAATTACATGACGAACAATAAAAAATAAAATTATGAATAATATTTTTGGCTTTACATTAAATATAAACGATATCGATTATTTCAACGCGAAACTCGCACGTCAGTAGTGTCAGATCATAAATGACTAGCGACTCTCGCTTCGCTCCGGTTCGTCCCTAGGTTGATTCCCCATACAAACTTTCATCCTCATTTTTACCCCCTTAAGGGATGGTTTCCGGGATAAAAATATATATCCTATGTTCTTCCGAGGGCCTCAAACTATCTTCTTACCAAATTTCATCTAAATCGGTTCAGTAGATCCAGAGATTACCTCCTACAACGTCACAAACACACAATTCACAAACTCACCAACTTTACCTCTTTATAATATTAGTATAGATTTTCATTTTCTTTAAGTTTTTTGTGTTTACGTAATATAAGGAATTCAGATAATACTGCGACAAACCTAACAATAAGTATTCTTATTTTTATAAACATGCTCATTAAGACCTTAAATTCGATATCATTACATTTTTAATTAAGTGTTTTATGTCCACTAAAAGTCGTCATTTTGAATTTTCTATATCATATAGCCTATAACTAGCGGAAAAAGGACGTTTCCAATAATACGTCACTTTTTATACAGATTCGACGAGTTAGAAGAAATACTGTGACAGATGAATATAACACTCTATATTTAGCTTAACCTTAGCTGGCTATTGGCACTTAATGTAGAATAAATCAAATATTCAACTCCCACATACTATATTGTTTTAACAATAGCTATTAATATTTTTTATTTAACTTTTCATCCTATAAAAGACCTATAAATTTACCAGTTTCACGGTTAAATTGCTTTATATATTATTTAACTGTGGAAGCTGTGTCAATCGCACACAATAGTTCAAGTGAACCCAATTCGATCCTAAACGATTAAAAGCTAATCCTATCTCGAAGGAAGGTCAGAATCAGCAACCCCGAACAATACGAATTAAGGCCCGGCCGTCACTGAGACATATCTCTTAGATAACGAATACTTTTGACTGGCATTTACTTTGGATTTATTTTGTTAATTAAAAATAGTGCTCGCTAAAAATATTTTAAGATAGTAGATAATTTGAGTTACAATTGCTAAAATTAAATTTGTTTTCCATAATATCTTTAAGAAATAATATGAAAAACGAACATACATATATACCTACTTGTAGATGAAAGGTTTCGCTCACGTTTTAGTGGCCCTACTTGCTATGCCAGCGGTCGCGGGTTCGAGTTCCGCTGGTTCATTGGTTCATTTGTGTGATGAGCGCGAATGTTTGTACTCCAGTCATGGGTGTTTATATTTATGATATATATGTATTTTAAGTTATATAATATGTGTAGTGTATCAACTATCTGGTATCCATAACACAAGTCTCATAACTTACCATGGAACTAGATGGTACTGTGTGTTAATTTCTCAACATATTTATATATTTTATGATTTATTTTTTGCAAAAAATAAAGTATGTATTGCAATAACGTAAAAAATATATTTTCGTTTGTAAATATGTTAGTAAACACAACATGATATTCGGAGGTACGGAGGTAGGAACCCTCGATGCAGGAGTCAAAATCATACCCACACGTTTGAAAATGATTACAGCTATCAAATAATAATTATAACATAAAGCCAGAGTGTTTGTTTTTTTTTTGTTCTTACTTTGAACACGGGCAAAGCCGCGGGTTATTCTAGTATGTAATATTCAGATTAAGGAATAATATAGCCAGAATGTGAAAGAACTAAACATGAAGTCAAACAATAATGCTCATTACTGTAAGTAGTAAAAAAAAATTAAAAATAGTTAAGGGATTTTATTATAATAACTAGCATTGCCCGCAGCTCCGCCCGCGTTCAGATGACCTAAAACCAAATTCTTAGGTTTTACATATTAGCATACTCTTACTTTGCAGTCTTTGTATTTTTTCTCAGAAATAAGATATTTTCCCGCGGTAAAAAGTATCCTATATGTTGATTCGGATAACCAGCTATCACCATACCGAATTTCATATAAATCCCTTCAATGGTTTTTCTGTGATGCGGTAACAAACAGACAGACAGACAGACAAAAATTCTAAAAACTATAGATTCGGCCTCTGTATCGATAATAATGTTTATTTCAATAAGATTTTCCAAAAACTATCTTATGTACAGATTCGGATTAGTTACAATTTTATTATATGCATAGAAAAAAAATTAAAAAGCTATGCTTTAAGCTTATGCTAAAGCTTTCAAGGCGAAAAGAACTAAAGCTTAAAAATATATTATACTCAAAAAAAAATTGTATTATTTTTTCTATTCACTATTATTCATATTTTATAAATTATAAATTAACGACAAATACTTTAAAATAAATTTTTCCATAATATTTATTTTGTCAACGTGAACATCGCAATTGCAATTGAAACTGTATTTGCCATAACCATGTATCAAAATTTCTAAATACCTAGATCAAATAGTGTAGGATACCTTATTATTTCATAGCTAAAACATATTTTTCATTTCTATAATAAGTAAACACGTTAAAACTAAAAAGAAAACCTTCGTCTTCTTAGGGTTCCTAAAGACAAATTCGTTTTATCTTTTGGAATCGCCTTTATTTCATCATATCCGTAAATCCCTATTTCACAGGAGACTAGTGGATTTCATACAGTGGATTATTAGAGTATATATATATATATATATATATATATATATATATATATATATATATATATAAATATCTTATATGAACCACTAGGTTATTTTGTAGACAATGCAAATACCTAAATGAGAGCTGTAAAAATTTTCAGTACACATAAGCGTGTAACATCTTTTGATAGGTCTTTTTAAATGGAGTTGTTTCTGAGTGACTTTTTTGTTCAATTCAATTGTAGTAGGGTTGAACTCGTACTTCTAAAGCTATAAGCACTGTTTTTTTTATTAATTCCATTTTTTTCTAGGTACGCCTTCCGTATTTACGACCTAGATGACGACATGTACATCGGTAGAGAAGATTTGCTTGAGGCTACAAGACTTCTAACTAAAGGGGAACTGCAAGCCCAAGAACGTGATGAAATAGTGGCCAGTGTGTTGGACGAGGCCGACGTCGATGGCGACGGACGACTCTCGTTCATGGACTTTGAACACGTCGTTGTTCGTGCACCAGATTTCCTATCTACGTTCCATATAAGAGTGTAATAAAAATGTTAATTAATATTAAATATTATTAAAAATTACCGTGTGGTCGATCGTTTTAATTAAAATATTAAATTTAGGTACCTTCTGTAAAAAATACTTATTTACCTATATGTTTGAAAGAAATTTTAAAGTTAAATATATCGTCTTAAATGAAAATTACTTTAGTCTCGTACCTAATCACTTACATACTCCTTTCAAGGAGATTACCTGCTGTCGCTAGCAATTTAAAAATATCCTGAAAAATCTTAATCGGGTAGCTGGTACATGATTCTAGTGAAAGTGGCATAGTTTATTTGAAAGAAGATGAAAATATAGTAAATGAATTCGTGAAGTTTAACACTAGCTTTAGTGCTAAATAAGCAGAACGGCCAGACTTTTCTTTTGCCTTCTTATAGATTATATTTATATTTTTTATTCTAAAACTCAATCTTAACAAATTTGATATTTTATTACCTACTAGCAGAACCCGCGGCTTCCCTCGCGCTTAAGCTACAAAAAAATCTCTAAAAAGGTAGGTTTCATACAAACTTTCATACCCTATTTTACCCCCTTATGGGATAAATTTTGAAAAATGCTAAAATACGTATTTATTTAATCGTATTGAAAAATATTAATACCAAGTTTCAAGTAATCCTGATCACAAATATTTTTTGGCTTGTAGTATAACGTGTTTTCCCGTGGGAATGAGACAATCTCCCGCGGTAAAAAGTATCTTATGTCACTCTCCAGCCCTCCAACTATCTCCACACAAAAAATTACGCCAATCCGTCATTCCGTTTCGTGAAACGTGAAAGAAGGACAAACAAACAAACAAACAAACAAACCAACAAACAAACAAACAAACAAACAAACAAACAAACAAACAAACAAACAAACAAACAAACAAACAAACAAACAAACAAACAAACAAACAAACAAACAAACAAACAAACAAACAAACACACTTTCACATTTATAATATTAGTATGGATATGGATGTTATGTTCGATCAAAATTCAAACATCACGGAATTACAACCGAGATTATTTACAGTTGGATGTTGGCGCGACTGTCAACTAGCTAAATTTTATATTCACTGAAAATGTAAGGTATATATTTTTAGGGTTGACACTAAAATAGTATTGTAATAAATTATGAGGTTGGATCTCATAATTTTAAATCGCAGGATGAAAGTTATAAGTCGAATATAAAAGTTTCATAACTAACAATAAACAAATTAAAAAAAAAACTTTTTTATCCAACTATAAATAATAAATGCGAAAGTTTGTGGAAAATGAAAATGTGATGTATGGATGGATGTTAGTTACTCTTTCACGCAAATACTAATGAATGATGGGGCTGAAGGAAATCGCTAGTTAATAATATTAAATTATTTTATTTTGACAGCTTTAATTATTAGTACATTTTATCTAACGATTAAAATCAGCCTTAAATATGTAAAGTTATGTACATATATATGTAGGTATAACGCAGCGAATGTAGAATGTGAATGAAATATATGGTAGTACGGACACGCCTACTTATATTGGTACATACTAATAAAATAAATATTTACCACATGCAAGAATCGAACCCGTATAAAAGGCAATGGCTATGCGTGGCATAAACATGACTATAACTAATACACTTAAAAAAAACCAAGGTCGTGAGAATTAATTCTGATTTTTAAAATTAATAAAAAACCTTATGACATTAATTTATTAAGATTTAAAAAACCCATTTGAATTCAAATTAAATTAACCCTCGCCTGACTAATTTATAAAAAGGCAAATTTTAAACGTTATTAAAACAGCCGACGCGCCAACCCTTGTATTTGAGGAAAGTTGACAGCCGTCGGCTTAAATGTAACGAGACAGGTAAGTATTTAAAGAATATATTATAACCTTATTTTTATCTTATCTATACATATAATAAAACTCTGAGTCGAATCTGTACATTATTTTTTTTTTTGGAAAATCAAGTTATTACCGATACAAAGGCCGTATCTTTTTAGCATTTTTGTCTATCTGTATGTCTGTCTGGGAACGTATCACTAGAAAACTACTGGACAGATTTTGATGAAATTTGGTATGATGATAATTGGTTATATATAGGATACTTTTTACTGCAGGAAAATGTCTCATCTCTGAAAAATCTATACATATAATAAAAATGTAACGGATTGCTGTCTGTACATGGAAGATATATGAGAAAAAGTATTATTGGGACTTTTATGAACGCAATAGAAACCAAAACAATGGTTGTTAGAATTATTGTTTGTTTATCTGTTTGTGCGTTCGTGCACGCTAATCTCAAAAACTTAACATTTAGTGTTTGTTTCATGTCAATCGGTTCATAAATAAAAAAGTTTAAGTTTTTATTTAAAATATCTCCACCTCTTAAATGCTTTGATCATACATTAATGCTCGTGACTGTACGTCATATTATATGCTATAATATACTATATTTTAAAAGAGCGCTCTTACTTCAGAACTCTAGGTTCTCATAAATATTAAATTGGCGGTATTGTTTCCGCGTAAAATTCGGACACCGTATCTCTCGCTTAGTCAAAATAAACAGACAATGAACCTATAGGTACGTGTTTTCAAAACATCAATCTGCTAATAAGCTTTGCTTTCTAACGTCATTCTACAGATCAGATTTTAGTCATTGTGGCCTTTCATGGAGACTATTAAAATGCACGAATATGTCCACAGTCACTGCTGTCACTTTCAAAGTATAATTATTATTTACATATATAACAAGTTTGGTAGAAATACTCCAAGACCAATGAGAGATCAGGTACAGATAAATACGGAAAGGTTGTCCTCATCAACTTAAAAATAAAAAAAATTGTACGAAGACGCCCAAGAACTTAACATGACCTAACCTGAGATTCGATCCCAAGACTTCAAAATCTACCGCCGTAAATGTTAACTAAGCAAACCAAGCAATTATACGCTAACCTCATGGTTTAATATAAAGATCTAGCCAATTTATTACTACTTGCAGTAAAAGCAGTAAATCTTTTAGAACTCTATTCTACTTATTACTGAAGAAAGGGATTACTTGAGAATAAACTTTTACGGCGGTTATTTTATATTTAACTCTTGATTCAAAAAATCCAAAACATTTAAGCTTAGACGGAAATAATAAAAAGCTTTTTAAAGTGATAATATAAATTTGATTATTATTTTTTTGTTTTCGAATATTGCATCTATCTATTTCTCAAATCTCAGAGGACATTTTGTAATTTACAATTTCTCGTACACTTTCTGTAAACAAATGACTCAAATAAATTGTGAAAAAAAACACAGCTCTACTTTTTTACATTAAAACAAAAAGTATCCCAAGTACTCTGACGATATAATAATTCCAAAATAACATTATACGCATAATTTATTAAACGGCTAAAATCTTAGAAAAATATACACAGCTTTTTCCTTCATTCATCAGTTTTAAGTAAGCCCCAACTGTATACTGTATGTCTGTAACAAGTATATAATGCCTTTGAGACATCTAAAACCTTAGTCTCTCCCGTGACCATGTGCGCTGTAAAGCATTCGAAACGTCGAGAACTAAAAATCAAAATAAATCCGCCAAATAATCGGAAAAGATAGTTTTATTTAAAATACAAATATGTAACATTTAATATTTCTAACTGTATTTTTATGTGTAATAAATTAATGGAGTGCATAATATATTAATGAATTGCATTTTCCCATAATATTCTATCAGGATGAGATTTTATTTCGTTATATGAATTAGGTATATTACAATATGAGAATTGAGCATACATTAAATAATCATTATCAGTTTCATCAGGGTGTTTGTTTTTTAATCTAGCACTCCTAAGCTTAACTATATTATCAGTGTTTTGATTAAGATTACTATCTAATTGTGAAGTTAAATTATCATCAACTCAGCCTATTAAAATAATAACAATATTTCTTCATATGTCCTTTTCGTCCACAATGGTGACATTTTTCAATGTAGGATTTCGTCCTTTTATTGACTTTATTGTTTTGTTGATAATAATTATTTAACGGTTTTCCATTTTCAAATTTTCTTTTTTTATAAGTGTCGTTTATATGTTCTATTTGTAAAATCTTATTATTGGTATTACAACTTTCAATTTTTAAATTTACTTCATGATCCAACAGTCTGTTTTTAACAAAAGATAAGGTTAAATTGTCTTCAGACAAAGTTTCTATAGCAGTTATAACACCATCGTAGGTATTTGGAAGTGTAAGTAATAAATGTGACACTTTATCGATTTCTTCTAACTTAGCTCCCGCTGCTAGCAATTGCGTGATTAAATCATCGAAAATCACGAAATGTCTTATTAATGGTGCATCGCCTTGTAATTTTAATCTCAACAATTTCTTTCTTAATGCTAATTGCATAGCAATACCTTTACGTTCGTATATTGCATCAAGACTACTTAGAATTTGTTCAGCTGTTCTGTTTTCTTTAGCAAAACAAAGAAATGAATCGGAAAGATATTCAACTATAACACTCTTCGCTATTCGATTATTTTTCTCCCAATCGAGATGCATACGCGGTCCATCAATCACTTTTAAAACGTCCATTTCGTCAAGTAGTGCGCGTATTCTAAATTTCCACACGCTATAGTTTTCTCCGTTAAACGGTGCAATGTTCCTTTTCATCTTTAAATTTTCCATTGTTAATAAATCGATATGTTTTTTAATGTAGGTATTTCAATATCACTTTTTAAACAGTTTTTAACACATTGAAGGCTCTGGGCGCATAACCTATTGGGTTATATACTTAAAGTTACTAATAAACCGAAACACTTTTTTTTATATATATTAACTTTATAATGAACACTAGGAAGGTATCCACACGACCGAATGTTAACACTTCAAGAGACAGATGATAACAGAGACGAAATAGCAAAATTACACAGTTTATATAATATGTACGCTTAGCCAATTAGTCATAGCAACTATTTATTCCATTAGGATTAATTTGTTTATTGAACATTAAAATGAAGT